AAAATAGTCAAAAAAGGACTGAATCACCGATTTGTTAACTTAATTGAATGTTATTATGAAGACATGACCGCTGCGGTTCGTTGGAACAATTCTATCACTGAATTCATTGAAATTCGTTCGGGGGTGCTCCAAGGTGACCTACTATCCCCATGCCTATTCCTACTCTTTATTAATGATTTGATTAAAATATTTGATGACTCGGGGTTGTAAGGAATATACTTACCCAATTTCGGAAACATACACCTCTTCCTATATGCCGACGATATTGTTTTGATCGGTGATTCTAAAATAAACTTCCAATTGAAAATCAATATACTGAAAACCTATACAAGTCAAGAATAATGGTTTTCCGTAATGGAGGAAAGGTGGCGCATTCAGAAATATGGTATTGGGGTCAAAGTCCTTTAAGTGTTACATCAAAATATACTTACCTGGGCTACCCGCTCACCCCTTCGATTTCTTTCACTCAAGTTGCCTTAAATTATAGAGGCAGGACCATGGCCGCGATGGGTGCCGTGGGGGAGATTATTCTGAAGTCCAAGCTCAAACAAATCCTTCCATGCAAGTGTGAGATTTTTGGATTCTATGATCTTGACAGTCCTACTCTATGCGGCTCCAAACTGGGCACATAATCAAGCCTTAATCTTAGATAGAATCCAGGATACCTTTCTCAGACGTTTTCTGTGCCTTCCAAGCTATACTCCGGGCTATATTCTGATATCACAGTGAAATTACTAACTTTAAAATCCTGGACTAGAATTCTGAAAATCGACGGCAGCAGGCTACCTTCAATTTGTTTGGCACATTTGTAGGACATTTCAATTTCTTCAAAACTGAATATCGGACTGGTAAAAAGTATAACAGAGCTAGTTAATAACACCGGCTTCTCATGGCTTGTTGGAAGTACAGACTTCAATATTCTACAAAGATACATCCCCCTAATTATTAGAACGGCAACCGATCAGTCCTTGCAGCTGGATTATGTAAGAATAAGAAAATCAGTACTCTACTCTCACTATAAATACTTTCATTCATCACCTACACTGGAATGCTATCTGAATGACAATATCCCCCTTACCTTAAAGAGAATCATTGCACAAGTAAGAAGCCTTTTTGTAGTACAGAGAATTAATCATGTTTCACTATTGAAAACTAAGACGATAAAATACACCTTATGCAACGGTGAATTTAGTCTCTATTTTCCACACTACATGTTCTACTGTACGGCAATGGAAGAAGAAAGAGAAACTCTTCGTCAAGAGACCGGCTATAATAGCAATTCGCCTTATGTTTTAATGGCAAAAGTAGTAAAATCAAGACCCTTTGCATTCGCTTTTTATAAATACTGGAAATCAGCTCAATCAAAATATTTAGCACAGATACCGGATCCAACTCGATAATTGGTCGAGGTCAATACCCAATATTTGTATATAACTATTAGCTAATTTGTTATTTATTCATTTTGTCCTACCGGGAGAATCCTGTATGGCACGTGTGCCCAATAAAGGCTATTGTTGTTGTTGTTGTTTTATTGAGAGTCCGCCGCGCACAAGGGTCTCCGATTACAGATGTCGGTTTTTTGGGGGGCTTTACGAGGTGAGGCTATTAAATAACAGGACTGATGCTGTTACCAGCAAACTGCGTGCGACATGTTTGAACATGACTGTGTTTGGTAGGGCTCCCTTCGCCCTGAGCTCGCTCGACAAGCCAGCAGGACGCTCAGTTTGATTGTAGCGGTCGATCGTGTCTGTACCAGTGACCTGTCGGAAAAATGCCAAATGGTCAGATAGAACAACGGGTGAACCTCAAGTTTCTTGTTAAACTAGGGAAAACTGCCACAGAAGCTTATGTCATGTTAAAATCAGTGTACAGGAATGAATGTTTATCCCGCACACAAGTTTTCGAATAGCTTAAGCGGATCAAAGAGAGGCGTGAAACGCCTGAAGATGATCCGCGCCCAAGACGGCCCTCAACAACGGAAGACAACATAGAGAAAATTGTCAAATTAATCCGCGAAGTTGGGTCCCCGAAGGTCGAACGGTCAATCAACATTTTTACCTCGAGGTTTTAAACGGCCCTTCGTTAGCGTGTGAGAAGACGAAGACCCGATTTGTGGAAAACCAATTCCTGGATGCTTCACCAAGACAATGCGCCAGCCCATTCTGCTTTGTCTGTGAAGGCGTTTCTCGCAAAATACGTCATGACAGTGTTGGAACATTCAGCGTATTCCCGACCTTGCCCCCCCCCCCCCCCCCCCCGTGTCTTTTTTTATTTCCTAAGGTCAAAATCGGCGCAAGTCATGACATGAGTCCGGTTATTTAATAGCTACACCTCGTATTTTTATATTATTTCACAATATAGCTGAAATTTGTTAGAAAACGCCCAAGACAAGATCTCCATGACCTGACTTAGCCCAGTCTCAGAGGCGAGTCGATGTCTGTAAACGATTGTTAGAAAATCCTCAAGATCTTCGGTTTTGAAAGCGGATTGTAACTGGGGATGAAAATTAGATCTATCTTTGTATCTCCGACACAAGAAGACAATGGGTACCCTGAGATCAAGAGGCTAAACCTGTAGTTAAACAAGATCGCTTTGGCGCCATAAAGTGATGTTGTCTGTATGGTGAAACATCGATGGTATTGTACACTATGAACTTGTTCCTGATGGTCGTGCAGTTAATGCCGATCTCTACTCAGAACAACTCAGCCGAGTATATGATGTTTTGGAGACTCGATACCCTGCTATGATCAACTGGAAGAGAGTACTCCTGTAACATGACAACACTCCAGCTCATAGAGCTAGGTTAACTCCGAATAGAATAAAGTATTTGGAGGATATTGAAGTTCTAACTCACCCTGCTTCTAACCCGGATATTGCGCCATCCGATTATGCACTATTTAGCACCATGGCTATATTTATAAGGGGAAAATACTTTGAAACATTCGTAAACGTCTAAATTACGTGTCGTGACTTTTTCAACTCCAAACCCCGAGAATGGTATTATCATCAAATTGAAAACTTGGAAAACATATGGCTGGCTGTTATTTAAAATGGCGGTCTCTTCTTCAATGAATAAATAATTTTTGTTTATATATTATTTAATAAAAATAAAAAAGCCTATCCTGACCAGGAGCACATGTTCTTTTCAGAAGGCAGAGCTCTTTTCAGAAGGCAAAACTCCATCTGCTGGAACAGAAATCAACTAAACATTGATTTAGCCTGTTCTCTGATTAGTCGCAATGGTACAGCCTACTCCACGCTGACGAGCGCCAACAGCGCGAAACGCGTTCGTGGGTGGCTTTTCTTGATTTATCAAGAAATTGGGTTGGCCAAATATCAGGGAACAGGCTAAATCAATGTTTAGTTGATTTCTCTTCCACCAGATGGCGCTCTGTCTTCTGAAAATCACATGTGCTCTTGGTCAGGATATGCCTTTTTTATTTTTAATATCAACACCTGACCTTTTTATTTTTTATATTGTTTTTTTTTTTTCATATATTATTTAATGTGTATTAAAATTTTATTTATGAGAACGAACGTTTGATACAGCTTAGTATATAGAGGGAGAGCTGATGTCTTATGTTTGAATTTTTCTATAGCTATCTCTATTTACATACCAATGTAATCTGGTAGAGGGTATGTGTTGCATATATAACAATTAATTGTCACCACAGAGTAAGCTAATAGGTAAATAGGCGCTAACCGAAAATAAAAAAGTTCCTTTGTTTTAATATTAGTTTCTCTTTTATATTTTGTTCTCTCTCTTGTAAATCAATAATTTGATGTTTGTAGAACGACATTTGAAAATTATCCCGCATTTGTTTCTTTTGAACAAAAATCAAAATTTATTTTAAGTAGAAATAACGTTTATTTCTAACCTTAGGAATGAAGTATGAAAGGATGAATTGTGAGGAGTAATGATAAACGGAAAAATAAAGTGTCCAGGGATGGTAATCGAACTTACAGTGTTCCGCTTACCAGGCAGATGCCATGTCCACTAGGGAACCCTGGACATATTTTTCCGTTCGTAAATATTATATAAAGTAATTTATAATACAATATAATGCGGCTTATGATTGTAGAACGACATTTGAAAATTATCCCGCATGCGGGATATTTACAAACGGAAAAATATTTCTCAGGGTAGCCTGGTGGACATGGCATCTGCCCGGTAAGCGGAACACTGTGGGTTCGATTCCCATCCCTGTACACTTTATTTTTCCGTTTATCATTACTTTTCACAATTCATCCTTTCATACTTCATCCCTAAGGTTAGAAATAATGGTTATTTCTCCTTAAAATAAATTTCGATTTTTTGTTTAAAAGAAACACATGCGGGATAATTTTCAAATGTCGTTCTACAATCATAAGCCGCATTATATTGAATTATTAATATAATGTTTGATTAATAATTATTGGAATCAGTTTTATTAAGCATTCTATACAAAGTCAAGAGTATGTTGTGGACAGGTTATCCAGCGCCGAGGGAAATTCAGAAATCCTCCCAATTACTTCGAACGTGAACATTTTGATTATGAATATGGTTTTGGAAATCCCGAAAAGGAATTCTGGATGGGTAAGTACATTGGAATGTACATTCTTATGTTCACCCTATTTTTAGTTAGTTTTATAAAATTATTTTCTATTTAAGATTGTATTTGGATGATATATTTTTACTTGATATGTTATTAAAAGTAGAAACGATGTTTATCAATATTAAATATTATATGGCTTTTCAGATTTTTTCTGGCTTTATAGTCACGAATTCATTTGGACATAACTTGGGAAGGAACAGGGGTCGGCAAACTTTTGGGTCGGAAGAGTCAAAAATTACAATTAACAAGATATCAAAGTTTTTAAAGAGCCACAATTCTTTTTGTTGTTGTTGCCAACAATAAATAGTACTCACATAAATAATATTTACGTATAGAACTATATAAAGAGCCGCAGTTTTACATCCAAAGAGCCGCATGCAGTTTGCCGACCCCCCTGTTCTATACCCTTCGATGATTCAGTTGGCAGAGCGGAGGACTGTAGAGTTTAAATGTTGATCCTTAGGTCGCTGGTTCAAATCCAGATCGAGGGACTTTTTTTTTTTTGTTGTTTTACTACCCTCCTGCAAGGTCTGGTGGCCACCTCTACTCCACTAACTCGCCATATGTAAATAGCCAGGACAAGGTGACTTGAATGTAACACCTGTAAACTGATACGAAATTAAATAAATAAATATTGCGCTATTTGACAAATTTTGAGAATATTGAAAGTTGCTGATGGCTTGCGCCATCTATCGGAATAAATATCAACTAATCATTGATTTTTAATTATTCCAGAATTGGCCAAATACTGTTTCTTGATTAATCAAGAAAAGCTAACCACGTACGCGTTTCGGCAACTTTCAGTTGCACGATCAGAAAATGCATTTTTTTCTTAATTTATCTACCTGATCCAAGTATAAATTTACTTTGAAACTATATTTCACTTTGAAAATACTGTTATTGTAAAAAATAAATTTGTTATTTTATGATTACTCGTTCTGGTCTGTCCTATAATCTTGATATGGAACCATCGTATATTGACATGAAGCCAAGGACGGTACAACACTATAAATGTGAAATTTGTGGTTTTCAGGAAACTATTATATAGAAACTCTTATAAACCGGGATTTTTGGGAGCTGCGGATTGATTTATGGGAACAAGATGATACTCATTACCACTCCCTTTATAAAGACTTCTGGATTGAACCCTTCTCCGAGAATGATGATTCCTACAAACTACATTTTGGCAACTACTATACTGGTAATGCCGGTGAGTACTGTTAACTTTGATCGATTATAACTAGTTTGAGTCAAAAGGCGATCCATCAATTAAGTTTATATAAAAAGGGCGTACCTAGATCTGTAAAGAAAAAAAATATTTTCTCAAAATATTTTGAGAGATTGCTCCCTCTTCATTAATTTATTGCTAATTTATTGATAAATAGGGAACAATCTCTCGAAATATTCTGAAAAAAATGTTTTTTTTTTTTCTTTACAGATCCAGGTACGCCCTTTTATATAAACTTAATTATAACTAGTTAATTAAAATTATATGTATATACAATGTTGGGTATATAAGTAATGCACAATCACTGTTAGCACGTTTTCTTTGAAGTTTCTTCTAGAAAGAACGAGCTGACTCAATTCGATTCAATTCGATTTATTTCACACAACAAAAGATAATTACACTACGATTTAATGCGATTTAGTTGTATTCATAACACAAAAGAAAAACAGAAGAAGAATAAAAACAACAAAAATAATGATGATAAGTAACAATAAAATTCTATGAATATGAATTATAATTAACTAGCAGACCCGCCCGGCTTCGCCCGGGTTTTACCTGAGTAAAGGTTTGTCTAACGAATCTCTCTATAAAGTTAACATTTTTTCCCGGTCCCTTGAAAAATACTCGATAAGTTGAATAAAATCAATATTAATTGGTTCCCTCGGTAATTGGAAGTTAAAGGAATAGTATCTTGCCTTTGAATTGTATCATTATTCTTGTCTCAAATAAATTGCCGTGTCATCCTGAATTTTGTCTTTCCTAATTTTCTACATTACAAAATCATCGTATCATCATGATAATATTTAGAGCAGATTGTTGAATTATAACAGATAAATTAGAATATTTATCTTGATTATTTCTAGGCGAAAAGTTATTTCAAAAATTTTATTTGCTAGAAACCTTCCCAGTACTATACTAAATAACTTCCCAAAGTTTCATGGCGATCCAATGAGTGGTTTGGTCAGGCATAAAGGACAAACAAACAAACAAACAGACACACATACATTCATTTTTATATATATAGATAAATTAGAATATTTATCTTGATAAAATATTTTAATTTTTTCATATTTTAATATATGTAAATAGAGTCTCTTAAGAAAGACCACCTAAAAACATGAATCAACTTGTTTCTCCTGTTGGTGGTCTCTCATTGAAGATTCTAATTGCTATTAAAGAATCTCTAATAGACCTTTAATAAGAGACTGCCTCTTGGAGAGACGGGTTAAGCTACGAAATGGATATTCCCGGCTTCGCCCGGGTTTTACCCGAGTAAAGGTTTGTTTAACGAATCTCTCCATAAAGTGAACATTTTTTCCCGGTCCCTTGAAAAATTCTCGATAAGTTGAATAAAATCAATATTAATTGGTTCCCTCGGTAATTGGAAGTTAAAGGAATAGTATCTTGCCTTTGAATTGTATCATTATTCTTGTCTCAAATAAATTGCCATGTCATCCTGAATTTTGTCTTTCCTAATTTTCTACATTACAAAATCATCGTATCATCATGATAATATTTAGAGCAGATTGTTGAATTATAACAGATAAATTAGAATATTTATCTTGATTATATCTAGGCGAAAAGTTATTTCAAAAATTTTATTTGCTAGAAACCTTCCCAGTACTATACTAAATAACTTCCCAAAGTTTCATGGCGATCCAATGAGTGGTTTGGTCAGGCATAAAGGACATACAAACAGACATACATTCATTTTTATATATATAGATTAATAAAATACAATAATAATAATAAAAATAAAACCTAACATATAGATTACTATAATAATGATAATAAAAAAACCTAACAATCACCCTTAGAAAAAAAATTATTATCATAGAATACATGTCGTCTGGTCAATAAAATACTCTGATTTTTATATCAACAATCAGAAATGATTTATATTAAGTATTTATTTAGATATGGAGCCTAATGTGAACACAAGAATTCAACAACGGTCGGTGACAAAGTTCCTCTTTAAGTCCGATGACATTTCAGTCACAACAATTCACTCAAAACCTCAGCCAGTATATGGAAACATTGGATAGAATCACTATACAGAGATGGGTTCAGCGCTTCCAGAAAGGTTATTTTGATCTTCATGACAAAGAGAGGCCACGTAAACCTTCAACTATCACAACAGACCAAAATTTGGCTCTTGTTGAGGAAATTGTCAAGAATAACCGGGCAATAACGAGATATCAATTGATGAAAACGTTCAATCTCTAAAGGAAGTGTTCGTAAATTACTTTCAGATTTTGGCTATCAAAAATTGTGCTTTAAATGTGTGCCAAAACTTCTAACACGGGAAATGTTGCAAACTCGGAAAGAAATTTGTTTAGACCTCATCGAATCTTACCCAGGACCAGCTTCTGAAGTCTTTAAAGGAGTCATTATGTGTGATGAGACTTGGGTTTATTATTATGATCCTTCTTCAAAGTGTCAATCAATGCAATGGACCTATAGAATGTCTCCAGTCAAGAAAAAAACCAAGGATTTCCTTTTTTAAAGACAAAAATCATGATCACGGTCTTTAGGGACCAAGATGAACTCATATTCATGGACCTGCTTTAAAGATACTTCCATAAACAAGGAAATATATTTTAAATCATTAGAAAAGCTAAAAAGAGGCATTTCAACAAAAAGGCCGGGCCTAAAAGACTGACAAATCAATTTTCATTAGAACAAGACCTCACACCGCGCAACAGACATTGGCTCAAATTTCCAGATATGGGTGGAATTTGATGTCTCACCAGCTTACAGTCCTGATCTGGCTCTTTCCGACTCCTACTTCTTTGGTAAAATAAATAATTCTCTACGCGGTAGAACATTGAAAATGATGAAATGTTAATCCATGAGGTTAGAGGGTGGTTCAGAAAACAAGATGAAGCATTTTACCAAAGTTGTTAGTTGGAAAGAACGCTGGACCAAATGTGTACAGAGGGAAGGTGGATATATTGAATGATGCTGATATATAGCTAATAGTTAGATATCAATATATACAATGTTTCATCTTTATGGTTTGTCAAATAAATATTATTGATGATTGTGCATTACTTATTGACCCAACCTTGTATATATATTAGTGTGTGTATATTCTATTATTTAAATATATATTCTATTTATATTGTTTGTATATATATGAATTTGTGTGTGAAAAATAGTGCAAAAGTGAATTTGTACTTGGATCGGAGGGATAAATATAGAAAAAGGGCATTTCCTGATCGTGAAACTAAAAGTTGCTGATGACCCATCAGTTGAGGTACAGTTTGCACCATACTGACGAGGGCCAACAGCCCGAAACGCGTACGTGGTTAGCTTTTATTGATTAATCAAGAAACAGGATTTGGCCAATTCTGGAATAATTAAAAATCAACGATTAGTTGATATTGATGCCGATAGATGGTGCAAGTCATCAGCAACCTTTAGTTGCACGATCAGGAAATGCTCCCTTTTCTCATAAAAGTGTGTGTATATTCTAATACAGTAGAACCTCCCTGTAAAGGTCGAGACCTTTGCACAGCCAAAATGTCTTTTAGGGAGAGCTGTCTTCTTACCGGAGAGTGGCTAAATTATAAATATGGTAAATTTGCAAATTAAAACTGTCCTTTTTAGAGAGATGTCCGCTAAAGCGAGGTTCTACTGTATATATAAGTAACAAATATTTGAAGTATGAAAATTACTGTCTTTAGACTTGCCTTTTCATCTTGATCTTAAGTCTGAAAAAGGCTGAAAATGAGTAGAGCTCATCAATGGATGAGTCAATAATGTATTCTTCTTTCTTATCTCCACTCAATCACATATCAGGGTATCAAGGTTGTAGAGCTTGTTGATGATGTCTGCTGGGATGTGTAGAGCTCATCAACGGATGAGTCAATACAGTCAATGATGTCTTCTTTTTCTTCTTTCTTAACTCCACTCAATCATATTAGGGTATCAAGCTTGTAGAGCTTGTTGATGGTGTCTGCCGGGGATGAGTAGAGCACATCAATGGATGAGTCATGATATAAGGAACCAATCGCATGTTTATTCTCCATTACTATTGTTGACATATTTAAATGGTATAATTCGAAACCATTATAGACGAGTATGATTCGTTTTAAACATTAAACAATTTCTACTGCCCTTAATGCAATGAAGATATTAATGGGAGGGCCTGGCTCTCCGAGTCTATAATAGTTTAGAATTTTCATATCAGATGGCGCGCTAATGCATCATAATATAACCTCGTATCATAACCTCAATACGTCTTTTACTAGATTGTCC